ATATTCTGCCAAAAGTTTTAATCCATTACAGAGTGGGGGGTTAATTTTTTTTTTTTTTTTTTTTTTTTTTTTTTTCTATTGTGATATTTTGTTGTTTACGTTTTACCTGAACTGTTTCCAGAATTTTCACATAATCATTCTGTTGTTCTTGCAGCTTCTTGAACCTGGAAGATATATATGGTTGTTGAAAGCCTTGTATGGTCTTTTGATGTTGCTTCCCCAGGTACATCTTAAGTTCTGCCTTTATCCATTTTTAGTTTTTTATTTCCTTTAATATGGTGATCCAAATTACCGAGACATAGGTTTCTTCCTTGAGATTTTCAGTCAAATGGACTATAATAACAGTTTTCTACGTCTCCATCAAACAAAAGACCAGAAATTCAGAATAAAAATAGTAAAGCCCAAAAAGCTTCACAAGAGATACTAAAACATTATTTAGGTGGTGCCATTCAAAGCATTTTCAGTCTGTCGACATGTAATTTATTGTTGACCCTTCTGTGAAGCAAGGGCAGAGTGAATGCGGAAAAGCCAAATGGGATAACTCCAAATCCCAGATCATAAATAAAATAAAATATTAAGTCCGTCAAAATTCATCTCACTCTTTACTGCCATAGAACTCTCAGTAGTTCTGGTAAATAGGTTTTGAATTCTGGTAAATAGGTTTTGACTTTAAAGCTATTCACTCCTTTGGTAAATCTGCAAAATTGCTAATCTTTGTCCCCTACAGAAAAACAGAATAAAATGAAAGAAACTGTGTTTCGGTTTTGAGGCTTTACTTGAAATTATCCATACATTTGATGAAACAGTTATTATTTTGATAGTTTAATGAACCATTCATGGCGTTTAGATAACCAGTCTACCTGATTCGGAATATTTTTCTCCACTTTAGCCTACTGAAAAAATAACAGGGGCTCTTATAGTTACTGGTTAAAAGTAATAGGTAATGGTGCATGGGTCCGTTTGGTAGAGTTTTTGCTTTTTTTTTTTTTTTTTTTTTTTTTGCTTTTAGTCAATAGAAGAAGAAAAGTGAAAGCTTTGGCTTTTCAGTAAATATTTGGAACTACATTTTTAAATAGCTTAATGGGTCAAGACAATTTTTAATTTCTAATAAAGCAGTAAAATGTTGGAATGAAGTTTATATAGCCTTATTAAAACTTTGGTACAAGTTTCAAAGTTTATTCAGAAGTGTTTTTCTTTACAAGCCTCATATTGTGGCTTTGACTAGAAGCTCCTCTGAAAAGCCGAAGCACTTCTTACAGATCATCCAAACACTTCTAAAAGCAGTTTTTAGACCCAATAAGCCAAAAACACCTTTTGAAAAGCTCTCCCAGACAAGCCCTATATCCTTTTAAGATGCTTTCCCGCTCCCTCCTTGCTATAATGAATTCTATTTTCCGTTATTTTCTGGCTTGATTGCAGCAAAGTGCAGCATTCAAGATACTAAGGACTCGTCTAAAAGCTGTACCCTCATACACATTTAGTAGTGAGCAACTCAAGCGAACCTCTTCCGGGAATCCCTACCAGATTATTCATCACATTTCAGGTGGATCAAATATAAGCGAAGATGGAGACATACACGAGGATGAGAAGAATTTACATAACGGAATTAAATTCACGTTAAGATTACAACAGTTTGAGCAAATGCAGCACTTGCATCGTATGCATGCTAAAGCACAGGCACAAGCTCAAAGCACTTCCTCGTCTCCAGCATCACCAAAGGTTTGTGAAGCTTAGTCTTTTTCTATAATGGCTATTGTTTGGATTTATTGTCAATTCAGAATTATATCCTAAGTGCTGAGCATATCCAGGGAACAATGGATGAAGTTTCTGGTTTACATTTTTGGGTGCTTCTTAGGTTCTCCAAGTATGTTCTTTGGATGCAATTGGCTGTTCTAATAGCTTTTGCTGTCCGTCTATTAGGATTTAGTCTCCTTTTTTTTTCCCCACTTTGAAATATGGGCCCTTGCTGGTCAAAGTCCTTCAGATGACAGTTTCCTTATTTCCTTATAGTTTTGCCTGCCCTTTGTGCAATAATATCTCTAAATCGAAAGTTCATAGGTTTAGAAGCTCATAAGGTTTGTGTTTGAAAAAGTCCCGTTCATGCTGCAGATTTTGATATTGGGACTTCTGATTTTCTAGCATTCTTTATATTGCTATTATCATCATTATTTGCATCAATATCATGATATTCTTGTTTCTTTATCATTTTTAGACTAACCGGTGTAGGCCAACAGGAACAGGTGGTAAATAGATGGCAGACTAACTCCACTAGAAAACTAGAAGCTAGTCTAGAAATAAGGAGTCTCCTGAATAAATTGTTTCTAATATTCTTATACCAAAGATAAATAATCATAAAGTGTCATAGACGATAGAATCTGCGTTAGGTTGTTTATGTTGTTGCCTGCTATACATGCAGGAGGTGGAAAGACCTGAGGAATCCACGAGACCTACTCCCGCAGAGATGAGTAGGCCTCCTTCGAGATCGTCGAGGAGAGGACCCCTGGGACAGTTGCAACTATAACAGTGGCGGTGCTGCTTCTGGAGCACCTACTTGAAACAGCTAATTATACAGTGATCTGGGCATATACAAGCAGCCATGAATGGGATCTTGTGTAATTGTAAAATTGTATATCATAGTAGCTTGTTATGTGGAACTTGTGGTGGTTGGGATGTTGAAAATTGAGTTTTTGAATTGGAGATGGGCTCAGCCTTGGCTGAGCTATTCTTTTGACTTTGTAAACGGGATATGCTCCCACGTGGTTCTGTTATTTTTTTGTTGAAAACCATGTGGGCTAGAGGGATATATTTTATTTAGAAGATGCAGTTTGTTATTTTTCATGTTTATTATCTGTTACAGCCGATGTTTATATAATAAGCAATCAGTTAAATTCATGCATACGATGATCTTGTGAAGAAGAAAAGCTTGTGTATTTACAATGTCTCGACAGAACATTTTAGTTCATGTGCATTAATTATTGTGTAACGATCGATTTTCATGTAGTTTTATATATATAAGCTACGTTTCAGTAATGCTACATACTAAAGGAAATTTATTGTTTGTGAAATATGAAGGGATTTCTACTAGCATTGGCCTTTACATTTTTGTTTTCCTTTTATTTTACTTCCGTCTTTAAAAGGTAGTTCTCTTTATTCAAAGCTATTTTTGTGTGTGTGTCTCAATATTAGATTTGATTAAAATCACATTAAAATGAAAACATGGTTTAAAATAGAATTGAGTAGAGCATTTCTTATATCCTTCCGTAAAAATCTAATCTGATTGTTCAAATGTACGACATTAATTAGCAAGTTTTACCTACTATGGCACTCCTGTTATTAGTATTATTTGTTTACATTGTATGTTTATCGTTGTTTTTGTGTATTCTCAATGTATATGATGCCCACGTGAAACGCGGTTTGCTTAGGTGGTTAAGGTTGGCTTCTTTTCACTTTCCAAATTGCATGGTTGAAGACTGGAAGTGTCCACTTGTACTTTTCTCAATATCTATTGGAAAAACAGTGCATACGATGATTTCCCTTTGGGAAAATTTTTATTCAATTTGATCTGAAAATCTTTATTTATTTATTTGTATATTTAGTATTTTGACCTTTTTAATTGTAGTTGTCAACCAGTGCTACAGGAACCGGACAAGAAATACAAGCTAGAAGAGAATTTTTTTGAAAAATTAAACGCCAAGGTAAGAATTTTTTGCTTTAAAAAAAAAAAAAAAAAGATATTTTGATACTTGAAAAGAAAGGAGATGAGGGAAAAACTGCAACTAGCATTATAGCATTGCATGCATGTGTAACTGGAACAACTAAACGTGCGTCTGATACACTAGACTATCGAAATCTATATAAAATTTACATAAATCTACATTCGCTGTTTTGCTTGTGAATTACATACATAGCCAAAAGGCAAAAACCCAATATTCTTTCCCCTCGAGTAATCTCAAAATCTGATAACTACAACCCTAAAGCTGAAATACAGAGCAACATCCAAGATGGGAAATATCAAGTGAAGATGGACGATCCCTAGATATCTAGTAACGTTCACAAAGCATAGATCTTCTCAAGGTCAGAGTTATACTCTTCAAGATCTGATACATTTGCAGAGTATGACCACGAAAAGGACTTGCTTCCGCTAGCCCTTTTGATGCGCCTCTGCGAGTCGCGGTGGAAGCCACAATGTTGTCGGAAAACAAAGTAGCACATGCTTGCTAGAGTGCTGATAAGAATGGGCACTCCCACGGATGTTATGACAGCCGCCATCCATGAATCATGCTTTCCGACAACCTCAAAAGCTATAGAGAGAAAAGCCCCACAAGTGCAAGCGCAGGCTATCCACATTAATTTGTTAACCACCGAAACAACCTGCTTCTGAGCCCTAGTATCCCAAGCCACCAAAGTGATCTGAACGACAACAACTGATAGAGAAATAAAGAGAGATATGGCATTTAAAAGGTAGAACACTTGGAAACCGACGTGGTTGGCAATATTGGCCTTTCCTACTTCTGGACCAGTAGGTACATATTGCCCAGGCAAGTTGAAAATAGCCAAGAAGGCTATTGAAGCGAAAAGAACAGCGACAACAGTCACAGAATTGGTCGTGTTTTGTACTGCTTCTCTGTGTAGCTTCTTTAGTTCTTTTGCAATCCCAGAAACTCGTCGGCATGTTTTTTCACTCTGTATGAGTTGTGACTGAACCTCGTGCTTAATGTCACTGACAGTTCTCTTGAGTTCCATTGCTTCATCCAATTGGCCAACAAATCTGGCATGTTTGGCACCAGCTTCCACTAGAGCTTCCTTAATTTCCAAAGTAGATTCTCCATATTCTAGTTTATCAGCCAAATCCATCGCAGTCTCTTGATGACTATTTATGGCGTTGACATCAATTGACGTATAGCTTAGCAAAACGCTCACAATCTGAAGAAAGGAGAATAAATATCAGCATAAGGCAAAAAAAAAAAATAAAAAGAATATTAATAAAGTAAGTTCTCTTAAACTCAGTTGGCATATAGAAGAGCCAACTTTTAATGGTTTCATTCTTCGGACCTTTCCCAATACAATGTTTTACAAGTAATAAACAATCAAAAAGGGATTCTCAGTATGTTAAATTCGAAAGCACATTCGAAACACTCAATCCTATCAAACCAAACAACAAGAGGATAGGCAAGTAATCCGCATGACAGAATAAGTTGATTATCCACTGGAAAAAGCAACTACTCTTGGTCCAGTTCATCAATTGAAATTTTGTATAGGAATATCAGACTTAGCAATTACATAATAGCAAAACTATAAAAGATGTTCAACAAATGCAAGGAAGCAAATAGAACATGATCCCTTTGAGGATTAAAAACCAAAATTATACTTTTGCATCATAAATAGAGATATAAGTGTGAGTGAAAATGTACCTGTGAACGGCCTTTTCTCGTGGCTATATGCACAGCTGTGTTACCCTTCTTGTCACGTTCATTCAGTATTGAGATATCAGCACTCAAAATCTCCTCTACTACCAAAGGACACTGACCTTTTACAGCCATATGGAGGGCAGTCTGACCTTTCTTATCTTTGACGCATACGATTTCTGGATCGCGTTCTATAAGCGTCTTTACAATGTGGAGGAGGCCATATCTACCGGTGGTATGCAATGCAGTTTTTCCATTTTTCCTCACTATCCTCATTGAGCTGACATCAGCATCCAAGATTGCATTGACTACCTCCAAGTGATCTTGAACGGCGGCTGAATAAAGGGGGCTGGTGTTCGTCGAGTCGCAACATCTACAAAGCTCTGGCCAAACACTCAAGAGCGCCTTCACGATACCTGAATAAACAAGACAATCAATCCCATATCTTCCCGAAGCAACCCCCTTATCATCAACTTTACTAGCCCTTTTTCTTTTTTTCAACCAAAAAAAAAAAAAAAAAAAACGGATAAGGTAATCTAAAAACCTTTTAAGTTATTTACATCCTTCTATTGTGTCAGAATTTCAAAGAAAAATAGACGTTTGAAAATCATCATTCTTCATAAGCACATGACAGAAATACCAGCCTATGACTGGAATCTGGATAACTAATGACTCAAAACATATCTAGCATAGAATCTTCTACCTCATAATCTTGGCTGTAAGAGATTTCCATTTTGGACCACTAATAGCAATATCCATTATTTTTTCACTGGATTACCTTTAGTTTTAGTTCAATGAATACGATTCACCATAAAATTACATGAATCAATTCATTTAAGTACTACAAGATGATGATGCCTTGCAACAAAAATTATCAAACTACACAAAGAAAGTAACGGTCATGTTTAGTCATCTCGTGAGTAAAACAATTCTCATAAGTACCTTTTATTCTCCTAATCAAGTTTCAACTAATTTCAGCCAAAACTATTTTTCGTCACCCAAATAAACTGAACTTAGCTATATTACACCATAGCCTTCTTACAATTATTACAGAAAATGAAATAATCTAACCCACAAAAATATACAACAAACCAAACAAAACCAATTCTCAAAAGGGACCAAAACCCATTTCAGAAATCAGAAAAATTGAAGCAGAATGTTCACCCAAAAGCAGTGTCAGAGTTAAAGAGCAATAAAATAAGTATTAAATACCGAAATATATAATCTAATCCACAAATATATAATAATAAACCAAACTAAACCAATTCTCATAAAAGGACCACAACCCATTTCAGAAATCAGAAAACTGAATCAGAATTTTCATTTTTCACCCCAAAGCAGAATTTACACTTACCCAAGTTGCCACTCTTAGCGGCGACATGAAAAGCGTCCATGTCGGACTTGGACCTGATCTTCACCGTCTGAACATCGCAGAACTTGAGCAAGTAACAGAAAACCTCCTCCAGATTATTCTTTGCGGCCATGTACAGGGCAGTATCCCCTACGTCGTTCTGCACCGCCATCAGATCAGACACCGTCGACCCATCCGACGGCTCCTCCTCCACCAGCTTCTTCAGCGCATCGAGGTCGCCCGATCGGACGGTCGTGAAGAAAGCTTGATGGGTGATGAACCTCAGAGACTTCGAGTCCATCATTTTAGAGAGAGAAACTCACTCCTTCCTTACAATCACTATCTGCAGAATTCATCAATAGAAATTGAACCAACAAGTAAACTAAAATCCCTTTTTCTTCTTGTTTGAGTGGAAAAGAAAAATACCCAGATGGGAAATTGGAATCAAAAGCTTGTAATAAGAGTAAAAAGCTAAGAAAAAGAAAGGAGTCTGATTTCTTTTCTTCAGGAGCAATAGCATGAATGAAAAATGGGTTTTTTTGGGCCGGTCTTTATTATTATTAAAAAGAAAGAAAGAAAAGATGAGCAAAAAGGAATGGACAAAAATGGAGTATTTGGCTTTTTTCCTTTGATCATATAGCTAAGTGGGGTAAAAAATGGAGTGTTTGGCTTTTTTCCTTTGACCATATAGCTAAGTGGGGTCCTCGTGGATGGGAAAACCATGTGAAGATGATAAATCATGGAGAGTCGACTTTTTTTTCAGTTTTTTGAGATTCTTTATTTTATTTGTCTATTTATTTTTACTCCGAGCCAATTCTTAATTTCTTTGAGAGATTAATAATGTACTGTTCAAAGTTGTCAAGTACATCTCCATGGACTCAAAGTGAAAAAGTTCATTAGCTCACTTCTTTACCTTGATTGGGAGGCGTATGAAGTGTGAATATATGAGATGGTAGAGTTTTTGTTCATTTTATTGATTTAAGTTTTGTTATAATAAAAAATTTTCATAAATAGTTAAATTTAACATTTTTATTACAGTAAAAAACTCTCACATAAAGTCACATCTTAACTCAAATTAAAAATTCGAATCAGCGAACTAAACGGACACTTAAAGGCCCGTTCACTTCATGTATCCCACTCGAATAAGCCCAATTCGAGTTGAATTTTGGGCTGAGTTTTGCGTTCATCAAACAAAACTCGAGTGTAAAACTTGAGTAATAACTCTGATTTCAGAGTTTGGCACATAGTTGTTTTCACATTATTGCAGTGTGCTTCTACAGTGTTTCCATGTGCTTGAACAGTGAGATTCCTCTGGCTTTCTTCCCGTTGCTGCCTCGTTCCTGCCTCCCCAGTGCAGATTTCTCACTGCTTTCTGCCCGCTGGACCCTCATTTCTTCCTTCCTCCTCTGATGGCACTCTGAACAAAGCGATTTCTTGCAGATTTTGGAGTGAAAAACGATTCTCTCCAGGCGGGGTCGGTTGCTCGAATTGATTGTTTTTTGTGTCGATCCGCAGCGAAAACCAGGTAACCTCTCCCCTATTTCCACCATTTTTGCTTCGATTCCTTGTTGCATGCCCAACCCTAGAAGTGTTCCCCGTTCGTGCCCTTGAATCTTCATCACGGATACCATTCATCCGCCTCGCGGCAACCGGCAAACTCCGTTGGCCGTTTTATTGCGTCGATGTAGAGCCAAACGGCCCCATCTCGCATCCACTGGTTATCTTCTTTTGCGACGTTACCGTCGGCTGTTCCGGTGTCAATCCGTCGTACGAAGTGCCTCACGCTCGCGTTTGGGGGTTGTGATAAACGATAAGCAGTTGTCCTCAACTGGTTCCAACCGGGTATGCTCTTTCATTTCTACTAAGCTCTATAAACCATTACTGTCTCTGGATTTGTCGTGGTTGCACTGTACTTCTTCTTCGTTTTGACTGGTTCGATGCTTGGCTAATTTGTTGTCATTTTTGTCCCCACTGTTGTCGTTTGTATGTGTTTCTATTGCATCCGCTGTTGTCGTTTGGTCATGGTTGTCGTTTCCGTTGCATCCCCTGTTGCCGTATGTAGTCGCCTGATGTCGTTTAGACCTTACCCAGCTGTTTTCCCGTGTTGTCGTTTTGGCTCTCGTGTTGCCGTTTATATGGCTTATTGCATCCCCTGTTCCGGTGTATTGGCTAATTTGTTGCCGTTTTTACCTGAGCCTATTGCATCCCCTGTTATTGTATTGGCTAATCTGTTGCTGATTTTACCTGAGCCTATTGCATCCCTGGTTGTTGTATTGGCTTCCCTGATGCCGTTTTTACCTTACCTTATGGCCGGTCCTATTGTGGCATTGGCTCTGCTGTTGCCATTTTTACCTTACCTTATGGCCGGTCCTATTGTGACATTGGCTATGCTGTTGCCGTTTTTACATTATCTTGTGGCCGGTCCTATTGTGGCATTGGCTCTGCTGTTGCCGTTTTTACCTTACCTTATGGCCGGTCCTATTGTGGCATTGGTACTGTTGTTGTCGTTTTTATGTTAGCCTATGGCCTCTCATATTGTTGTTATTGTTTCTGCTGCTGCCGTTGTTACCTTAGCTTATGCATATCCTATTGTGGTATGTTTCTGCTATGGCCTTTTGTACCTTAGCCTATAGCATCCACTGTGGATGTATTGCTACTTCTGTTGGTGTATTGCCTCCCCTCTGCTCGTATCGCACATGACCACTTTACAAATAGGTAATGGTGGCTATGATGAAATTGGTCCAAAATTAGAACACTCGTCGTAGCGACGTCCTGTAGATAATGTGAAACTTTAGTTACCGCTTCAGTGGAACTTATAGAGGGCCTCTGATGCATGGCAGCTACGTCTCTCCTACTTATAAGGATGATGCTCTGAGTGTTATTGCGATTAATTAGCCATAAAATTTCTGAGCCAGTTATAACATTCCCTCACTTGTAACGTGTAAAAACCAGGTAATAGGAATGGTTAATGGCCGTGATGTTCCGAAAGAGGAGTTGAGCCATTTATAACAATGTCTCATTTTAGGAGTGACATAAATAACTGACTCACGCGCACGAACGTTCCTCTTGTGCGTTGTTACGCTGCTTTCTTTGCTATTTTAGATGCCGAGAGGGGAAGCCGATGATGAAGCCACTCTACACTGGACTGAAAAACAGAAAGAGGAGTTGCTTATGCGGCTCGCTGCCTACAATCGTACTGGCAATGACCGGAAGCCTGATTCGAAAACATGGGAGGATTGGACGAATCAACTTCAAGAGTTCTTTAAGGATCAAGTCATTCCTGCGAAAGTGCAGCAAATGAAAGTTCGTCTTAAGGCCAAGTTTGACCATGAGCTTACATTACGCAATAACACAGGCCTTGGCTGGGACCCTGTTACTGGTGCTGTGACTTGCACTGATGAATATTGGGAAGATTTTGCCAAGGTAAAATGTCTAAACAATTGTTATTTGGGTATTCAGTTCTTGCAAACATTTTGTGAATGTCATTTTGTTTGCTTATTCATATGCAGAATAAGAAATGGGCAAATCAGCAAAGAATCAGCCTTTTAAAAACTGAGAGTTGTACTATGAGGCCTTTGGTGGTACGAGGGCAACTGGGGCACTTGAGAAGGGATTGGATAATCCAACAAACAATGAGGAGGGTCCAGTACACGTCTCCGACGAAGAAGGGGCGACATCTGATGAGGGTGGCTGCGAAGATGGTTTCATCGCATCCATGCAGGCCGGTTTGAACAATGCAGCTAGAGGTCTCAACATTGTGTCATCCTCCAAAGCGATCGGCAAGAAACCAGGCAAGTCCTCACGTAAGGTAATATGTGATCCTATAGCGAGGGATTTAATTGTCCGGCTTGTCTCTTCTATAGAAAGCAAGCATAGTAGTCGCACTAAAAGCTCTAGTGCGAATCAGGCTGCGCCTATTGTTGATCTGCAGGACCAATGCCAGGGCATTGTTAGGGAAATGGCGCTTGACGATGAAACTGCAATTACATTTTTGGAGGCCATTGCTTGGTACCCACATATGCAGAAGCTGTTTGTGGGAATGAGTGGTAATCAGCGTAACCTCTTCGTGACAAGAACAATCAGTACGTCACGGACTCAAGCACATGGACCTTTCTCAAACCCCCATGCTTCTACGGGGACACAGTTTATGCCGCCACCATTTCAGAGCTTCATGTCACAACCCACCAACTATATGCAACCGGCGAGCTTTTCTGTATTCGTACAATTGAACATCATTTGTCATTTTTAGATTTTAACATGGTATTTGAGTAGAGGTTGTTTATTTATGTTTATTTATGTTTAATACGGCCATGCGGATGTTATATTGTCTATGGATATTGAGTTTTATTGTCTAAGGATATTGCCGTGGCATTTGTAGTCATCTTTACTTGCGGATGAGATACTCATTTCATATATATTTGTCTATTCTTCTTTCATTATGCATGTCTCGCAGGTAGCAATGTGGAATGCAGGTCCCTCAAACCACGTTCCTCAAAACGGTGGTAGTGACGACTCAGATGATCATTATGAGATTGCGACAGTAGCAGTAGTTTTGTGGTATTACTACACATACATGGAAAGACCATTGCCTCAACCAAGGCATACCTCTGCCCTCACAGGTATAATGCGTGTTCAATACCTATTTGATGGACATGAGGACGTTACTAGGTCGAAGATTAGAATGGGAAGTGATTGTTTTAAGCGTCTTAGTATGTTGCTTGAGCTCAAAGGGCTTTTAAGACCGACTAGGAACATGAATGTGCACGAGCAACTTTTTATTTTCCTATACATTGTTTGTCAAAGTTCAAACAACAGGGAGTCACAAGATTAATGGCAGCATTCCGGGGCTACCATTTCAAAGTATTTCCATGCTGTTTTGAAGGCGTTGTATGAGCTCCGTTTTGACTTTCTTACACCGTCAAACTTTAACATTGTCAAACCAAGGCATACCTCTGCCCTCACAGGTATAATGCGTGTTCAATACCTATTTGATGGACATGAGGACGTTACTAGGTCGAAGATTAGAATGGGAAGTGATTGTTTTAAGCGTCTTAGTATGTTGCTTGAGCTCAAAGGGCTTTTAAGACCGACTAGGAAC